AGTTAGCTACAACAGCTGCAGTTAGCTACAACAGCTGCAGTTAGCTATATCAGCTGCAGTTAGCTAAAACAGCTGCAATTAGCTACAACAGCTGCAGTTAGCTACAACAGCTGGAATTAGCTACAACAGCTGCAGTTAGCTACAACAGCTGGAATGTAGCTGAAATGTAAGAACAAGCTTAAACTAGCAGAAATCAGAAAGAACACATATTTGCTGAATTTGGTTTAAATAAGCAGAAATCTCCATAAAAATTTGGTAATCAGCTAAAAAAGCTGAAATGAGCAAAATAATGTCTGAAAAGGTAGAAAGAAGCATAAACTACCAGAAAGAGCTGAAATGAACTACAAAATGTGGAATTAGCTGAAGAAGAAGACGTTAGAAGTACAAAATGTTGTAGTTGGCAGAAAGAAGCTGAAAGGAGCTGAAAAAAGTTTAAATTTGCAGCAGGAAGCTGAAAAAGGATGAAGTAAAACAAAAAGTGAAAGGAGCAGTAAAAGGTTGTAAACACATCTAAAGACTTGAAGGATGGAAAATGAGCTCAGTTCATTTTCTGTTAGAAGGAAATGTCAGAAAAGGCTAAATATTTCAAACAGCTAAAGTTGCACCAATACCAGGAGTCACAGCAGGATTGTCCTGAAGCAGCCGAACGTCTTGAGACACGATTTGTTGAAAAAGCACAAAAAATGTGGAACCAGAAAGATGCCGGTTTGACCTGGAGGCGTTTGGACCCGGTCCTGACTTGTTACAGACCTGACTGAGTTTAAACCCGGTCAGAACCGTCCGTGTTCTAAAACGGTCCAGTTGGGCCGAATCCATAAAGACTTGAGTCCTGCAGAGGCTGAAGGAGACGAAACGTTCTGACGAGCTGCAGGACACCAAAACATCCAGCAGGCGGCGACGGAGGAACACGGGTCAGAACTCCAGGCGGGTCAGAACTCCAGGCGGGTCAGAACTCCAGGCGGGTCAGAACTCCAGGCAGCCAGGCTCAAGTGTTTAATAAAACGAGGAGACGCTGGACATGGTTCATGAATAAAAAGTTTGATGTCGGTTCTGTTTGTGTTCTCATCCTGTTGGTTCTGACCCACAGATGGCCCAGTCCCAGAACAAAGTGTACCTGAACGCTGACAACCTGGTGCTCAGCGTGCAGGGCAAAGACAGCTTCGAGTGAGTCCACACCTCTCAACTGTCCACACCTGTCCTCATCTGTCCACCTGTCATCTGTCCACACCTGTCCTCATCTGTCCACCTGTCATCTGTCCTCATCTGTCCACACCTCTCAACTGTCCTCATCTATCCACTCCTCTCATCTGTCCACACCTGTCCTCATCTGTCCACACCTGTCCTCATCTGTCCACTCCTTTCATCTGTCCACACCTGTCATCTGTCCTCATCTGTCCACCTGTCATCTGTCCACACCT